AAATTAATTAAATTATTGTAATAATCAAGTTTGTTTTAATTAAGTAAATAAAAATAATAAATTCATGTTTATTATGTTGTGAACAATACAAAATAATTAATTAAATAAATAGATAATTAGGTATATGTGCTATCAATAAACAGAAAAATATTAAAAAATTAAATACTAAAAAATAAAATTCATTTTAATTTATATGAAGTTTTAATATTTTATAATTATAAATTACTAGAATTACATATATTTATAATAAAAAAATAAACTATATGGATTTATCTATATATTAATAATAAGCATAAAAAACAATTGCTTAATTTACTTAAACTTAATTAAAGTTTACTATTAATATTATTTTAAATTATACAACATTATAGTCATTAATAATTGAAATTATAATATAAACTAATAAATATATTTTTTAAAAGTCAAGTATAATATTAATTTCAACTGATATATAATTTTAATGATATGTTTGCATGTTTAGCTATTTTATTAAGTTTTATTAAGCAACTAATTTTATATTAATAATAATACTAAGTTTATTATATTGAAACCAATTTTTAATAATTTTATATAAATGTAGAAATTAATATTATATATACTAAAATAGTTATAAATTTTTTTCTAACATATTAATAAAAATATATTAATAATTACTACTAACTAAATTAATAATCAACCATGAGCAATTATTATAATAAACGTTTTGCCGATAAACTAGTTAAATGGTTACATAATCGTTATATAATAAATTTCAATCGTATTGTTGACGATGAATACTATTTGGCAATTAATTTGTTATTTAAAATTAACTCAATTATCTGTATTTGTCGTACAATTGGTCTATATATAGGTATCAGATATAATAATAATAATAATAATTTGTATGAAACTGATGATAACAAACATAATTATGACTATCAATGGCTAACCCGTACGCTATGCGATCCAACATATCTGTACGGAAATTCACAATTGACTCTAACATTTGCATTCATACTTCAATTGACACATATTATCGGCTCGTTTAATATACTATGGTTTGAATTGTTTGAAACTAATTTTAAATTACTAATCAATGATTTGGTTAATCTATGTAAATATAAAACACGTTTGAATAATATTAATATATTTGAAAAGCTATTCTACTATTTAATTGTTATCAGATTTCCAGATAAATACTTGTTTTGGTCAGCATTTTGTTATCTGAATTTAGGTCACAGTTTGCCAATAATATTGGCTTATTATGATCGGCACCTACACTATAATGCAATCAATATTATTATATGTATGTTGATTATGGCCATCGATATATTCAATGCATTAAACTATATGTATGTATTAATAGTTTGTGCCATAGTTTACGGTATTATATTGGATGATAAGTTTACAAAATTAAATGTAACAGATCATTACTAAAATTATATAGATTACAACTATTGTCTAGTATTTACAAACACAATAAGCTAACAGTGCTAATCAATAGATTCAACCGACCCCTATCTAAAGGAATATTTCTATTATATACTTTGGGCACAACTGCTGCACTGTTACTACTCTATGAGACATATCATCGCCAGTCCAGTCAATTATTTAAGGCATTAATGATTTTACTATTACTATTAGTTCTGGTAATTGGTTTATTTGTTGGCCATTTGTGCGGTAAAGTGCCGGCCAATGCTCACAAGCCGTACGCCATTATTCATTCGCTGTTATCTAATGATCGTAAGCGTCGGCACTTCAGGATAGGTCAGCGCTTGAAATGCGAAACATTTATCGGACGACTGAGTGGACCGACAATTGGTTTCTATTGTTTATCGATATTTCCTGTTACTAATTGGCAAATATTACAAACAATACTAATATGTTTTATTAATTATTTATTTATTACTGGTTTATTTTAACATAATTTTATTTATTTTTTTAAACAAACAATTTAATAATATTTTAAAACACAATTTTTTCATTTTTAGTTTATTAATTTAAAATAAATATTATTAAAATAATATATATAAATATAACTAAATTTTTTATGTTAATTATGTTAAAATTATATATTAATTTATTAATTTATTTTTCATCGATTTGTTTTATTTTTTTATTGGTTGAACATATATTATACAACAATATATATATATATATATATATATATATATATATATATATATTAATATATTAATAGTATTATTATTATATTATAGTCAGTCATAATAATTTAAAATTCAAATTATTTAGGTTAGCATTTTTTTACAAAAAAAATAAAATAAATAAAAGTTAAAATTATTTGTAAATTATGTTTAAACAGTTTTTGTTTTATTCCATTAAATTAATTGTATGTAAGACGTGTGGGTAAAATTAAATCTAAATAATAAATAGTTATATATTTTTACTTGAAAATCATTTCTCATAAAAATATATTTATTTATATATGTTGTCCACTATTAGAGGCAACCTTCAGTTCAATGCATATTTATCTTACTTATATTACTGAATATAATGATCAATAAATAGCACTTCCCGCGCGCTAATAGATCCAAAATTTGATTTCAGAGTCAAGTAACTAATCATAAATCATAATTAATTGGTACCATCTTTGAACGGTCAATACCCTCCAAGAAATTACAGATAATAGTGAGGCCTTCCACTGTTGCATCAATACTTAGTCCTCCAATGGAGTACTAATGCAACAACAAATCTGACCTTTGATTGGTAACTACCAGAGAAATACGCCTCAACCTACTTGAGTATATAACATATTTTCAATGAGATCACTGGATCAGATACTGGATTCATTTTAAGTTTTAGTTTAATAATTATTTAGGTAAACGGCCGTATAAGTGTTTAGTAGGCGAATGTTTCCGTGCGTTCATTCAACTGTCCAATCTTCAGAAACACACCCGACTGCACACCGGTATGTATAAACACCACTATTTCTCTGTGTATGTTTGTGTTATCGATATATTGATTATATATACAGTATATACACACAAATAAATTAACAAAATATTATATTAGGATAATAATTATTTAGGCGAACGGTCCTAAAAGTGTTCAGTACCCGAATGTTGCCGTGCGTTCATCTATCTGTCCAATCTTCAGCAGTACACCCGACTGCACACCGGTATGTATAAAAACTTTATTGTTATATAATAATATTGTGACGGATCGAGGGCGACATACAAATATTGTGACTTTACAGGTCTCTATTGGTTTTCATGTTCCAAGTCTGGCTACTGCTGACGGATGACGCATTCCGGAAAATTATGCCCTTGATGGCTGCGGACCTCGATGACAAGATACGGCAAATTTGCAGCGATAATCCTATAGAGTCATTGTCGGGCCAACCAATACTATGCCTGTCGCGTATTTCCTGAAATGTAGGTGACTACGACTTTACGAGTGCCGACCAAACATTTCGGTTCCGATGGCCAAACAAAATCGGTAACACTGATCTCCACTCGGTCCCATTTAGAACTGATCATGTTCAAAGGCCATTGTTTAAAAAGTGTTGTCCCAATTTTTACGCTTTTGTTGTTATTATTATTAATACTATTCTATATATTGATACGGTATGGTAATAAATGACGACGCGCGAGATTTGTTAAATTCATTGTATAACAATAATTTTTAGTATTATTATTATTAATACAACTCTTTATTTTTTCAGTTGGCGATTTTAGCGTTGAATCGGTGGATACTTTAGTATGTAATGATAATGAAACAACTGTTGTTGACGATGGTGCTCACAATGATGATTGTGTAGATAGAGTGTCGCTGAAAGTGGAGACCAGTATTGGGCCGAAAAGATTCTTGACTGGAGTTTGAATAACAATGGAGTTATCATGTATTTGGTTAAATGGTATGGTTATAGTGATGAACAAAACACATGGGAAGTAGAGAAATGTTAACGGATGTGATGAACTGTTGAACGACTTTTCCATTAATAATATCAATAGCAAAGATGCACCGCAGTTGTCATTTGAAGAGATTGAAAAAATATTAAGATGTTTGAAAAATGTATTGCAAACTGACGACAGAACTGGCTTTAGGAAGAAATCTAAGAGAACAATTAATTCCTTTGATATAAGAAATCCGGAAGTAATTAACGAATTGTGAAATTTAGTGAAAACACAAATTGCTATACTTTTTAAACGAAAGAAATGTTGCAAAACATTAAGTAATTTGGAAAGATATGAGACAAAAGATGTGACACTAAAAGTTATACAAAGAAACTTTTATTCAATCACTAATTTTTTTAAATTTGTTGATTCAAGAACTTAATAAATGACAGATAATAAAGAACAAAGTAATTAAAAAAATGTAAAGGACGATCTTTGAGTATAGTCAATGATGTTGATCTAGAAATGCCACAACTGGACAGTTATATAACGGATTATATAATTATAAAAAATTTGTTAATAAAATTAGCTTAGAAAAAAAACCATTAGTTGGATGTGATTGTATTGATTGCTATAACTGTCGTAACAAATGTTGCACAGCTATTGTCGGATTTCCGATGGTTTATAACAAATATGGTCGGATAAATACAACGAGATTCAAAGCATTGATATATGAGTGTAACTCAAAATGTAAATGTGATGACAATTGTTCTAACAGAAAGATCCAAAAGGGTCGTCAGCTTGACTTAGAAATATTTTGTTCCGATAGCAAGAGCCTTGGGTGGGTTAAGGACATTACAACTCAGAGATACAGAGCATTTGAAATGCATCGGGTCATATTAGTGCTAAATATGTTAGGGTCAGTTTTTGAATTTTTATTTTGAAGAAAATATATTGTTGAGATCTTATAGTTAATATTGCATTTTATTTAGCTTCTTTATCATTATGCTATAAAATAGTTGATTGAATTTTGTCAAAGGCTCTGTATCTCTGTTACAATTCAAACCAAAAGGTTATTTCATTACTCATTATACTCGAGAAATAATATCAATAATCGAGTCCGAGAAGAGATCGTCGACATACCTGTTTGATCTGAGCTGACACTTACATTCCGATGACGGCGTATAAACATAAGTTGTAGACTCTTCTCGATATGGAAATATTACACGATTTGTCAACCATTCGTGTGAACCACAATTGTCGCATATTGTTTGCGTGGACCACGAGATCTTCTGACCCTTTGTTACCAATGATTGTCTTAATCTCAGAAATTGATTTTAAATCGTACAAAGTGTTTACTTATGATTATTCTATGAATACGAGTGGCAACCAAATGTAAAAATCAAGATCAAGTGTGAATGTGGAGCAGAAAAGTGTATAAATTTCAAAACTATTTATACAATATATCAATATTGTTGAACTCAAACGGTAAGATTATTCTTACAGTAGTTGTTTAATAAAAAATATTAGATATATAAAATTAATATTAAAAGAAATTAATATTTTACAATTAATTTTTCACCGGTAATTGAAAACATATGCGTATATTTTAATAAGTAAGTAAGTCAGTAAAGTAAGTCAAATGAAAAATTGTTATCAAATATCTAATTACATATATATATATATACTATATAATTAAAAAAGCAATTACTATTCTAAATTCATTAAAACAACTTTCACCACATTTAAAAAACCAATCACCACTTTCTAACCTCACACACACCACTCACATAACCCCAAACTAACCCAAATTTATTATCAATATAATGGTATAACATATAAATACAATATATATTTCAATATCTGTTCATAATTTATGATAATGCAAAAACGCATTCAAGGATTATTAATAATTATAACAATAATATATTATATTGTGACGGGTGTGGGGTTGACTTTCCCGTCATTGAAGCGAAGCTTTGATGAAAAGCCAATGTTGAGTGTTGTTGTTGATGAATGAGATGAAAATAATTAATAAATAATATTAATTAAGGTGAATGTTAATTAGGTGCCGTCACAAGTGCATATAATCACATTGAAATATAACTTAATTTTATTTAAAGTTAAAACACATTGAAATAAATAGGGAGTACACAGTGTTCCATTACAATATAATATATAGAATATAGGATAACTATATAATGAAAAGCAAGAGATGCGTGCTTTTTGATAGCAAGCGAGTAACTGATAAAGTAATGGATGCAAAGCATTATTATATAGTGATTCTACTAATCAATAAATGTACTGTCAAGGTATGCTTCTAGAATATTCTATAGTTACGCAACTGGTAATGCAGTGACATAACCAGAGCACAGGAATGCTGTGATTGACAGGTCTATGGGATTTACATGTATTTTTATACCGATTGATAAATATTTAAACTATAAATAATTATGTATTGTGTCTTACATGGTTGTGTTCAGTATGATGTGTAGGTATCGGCACCAAAATAATATTCACAAAAATATTAATAATTAACAAATTATTGASTAAATTARAATCACAAAAWTCAYAAATATTATTGATTAWTATAGGATGCTATATATAATGTACTGTATGTATACACATAGAACACAGTGTTGACTCTMCGCTAGCATCATCAACTGGCAATGCATTATAAAGCATACGGAGAGTCGAAGCACTATCGGTTAGGCTTCTCCGCGTAGCTCTATGTGTGAGAGAGTCACTGTATGTGAGACTGCGTGTTGGTGTATATGTGTGAGTGTATGTCTGTGTATACAATAATAAATGTTTTTAATAATAATATATTTTATAATATAATAAATAGTATTTAATTAAATACTAGTTCATCACAATATAAACTCTTATAAAAAAATCTTAATTATTTATAGTCATAGACATGGCAGTGCTTTAATCCGTAGTTATTTTTTTAAAATTTTATTAGAGTACCTAATAATAGTTGGCGAAAAACATATATTCAAGATTGGCTTAAATTAAATTAAATTAAAAAAATATATAAAGAATATAAAGATATATAAAGATAATAATACATAACTTTAAAATATAAATATATGAAATAATGAATTCACTAAAAAATAGTGTATCATAAATATCAATACAATACAAAATAAATGATTAAAATTATAGTTAAAATGATTGTTGCAATGATGTGTGCAATAATATAATATTATATTAGTTTATATTATTATTACAAAATTTAGTAACCAATTAAACCTAAATAAATTAATTACAACATAATATAAAAAAGTCTAAAAAAATATATTGAAAATCATGGTATAGTATGTACACGAATACAAATTTATTTTCATTGTTTTTCATTTTAAATACACTTATTATACATCAAAAAAAATATTTAAAAATATATTAATTTTTAAGTGTCACTCATAATGAGTTTTAGGCTGCACTTTGATATTTGGGTCGCGCCGGAGGCGGGGTGGGTGGTATAGGTAGATAGTACATGATGTCTAGTATACATATGTAAAATATAGGACATCGCAAACTAAAGGTTAAAAAGTTATGAACTTTTAAAATTAAAAAAAATATATTTTTTGCAAGACTTACTATTTTTTGAACCTAACCTAAACTAACATAACCTAACCTAAACTAATTTAACCTAACCTAACCTAACCTAATTAACCTAACCTAACCTAACCTAACCTTTATTAACCTAACTTAACCTAACCTAACCTAACCTAACCTTAATTAACCTAACTTAACCTAACTTAACCTAACCTAACCTAATCTAACCTAACATAACCTAACGTAACCTAAACTAACCTAAACTAAACAAACAAAACAAAACAAAACGAACTTAATTTAATATAAAGTAACATAACAAAAAAATTTTATTCAATAACTTTCAAATTACATTTTATTTTATATACAGTATTAGAATGTACAAGTATTTATAGGACACACATTTTTGATGTCTTTAATCATTTGGTCAAACGGATCAATGTTATTGCGACGACAATCCCGGAACCACAGATATTCACATAATTTCATTGCCAATTGATCGCTACGATATCTTCTTGTTGTAAGTTTGTACTTCATTCATTTCCAGCTGAAGAAAATATACTAAATTACTGCTATTTATATTTACTATATATTGAATTTTTTAATTAAAATGTTCATAACTCCTTAACCTTTTGTTTGCGATATCCTATATTTTATATATGTATAGTACACCTCAAGCACTACCTACCTATAGCCACCTCCCGCACCTTTGGCGCGGCCCAAATATCAAAGTCCTGCCAAGTTTTATTTTATTTGTAAATTACTTTTTAATTTTACTAATTATTTTTCGTTTAGCGTTTAGTTTTTATAAAAATTAAATAAATAAAATTATTACCATACTGTAAAATATATTAAATGATAAAAAAAATAAAACTGTTAAATTGATTATTTAAAATAGTTAGCAATCCCACTTATTTACTCAATGTTTTACAAGTTTAAAAAATACTTAAAAAAAAGTAATTCAAATCAATTCAAATATATAAGCATAAATAATATTTTTAATTTTTCAATTTAATAATAAAATTATAAATATAAAGATATAAAGATACATAACTTTAAATTATATCTTTATTTTAGGATTTAGAAAATAATAATTAATTATAACTTTATTAAATACTGTAGTTATTTTTGTTTAACTATTTTAACCATCACTAAAACAAAATCATATTATTATTTACTTAATTAATTCAAACCATAATTAAAAATTCTTGAATTTAATAAAATAATGGACTTTTGGATATTTTTATTGTTAAAATAATTGTTAATAAAAATATCTATATAAACCATTATTATTATTATTATTTAATCAAATATTTCATTTTTAACTAAATTTCTATAGTATTTACGGTCCACTTTCCCAATGGATGTCCGATGAATGGTATCGACAAACACAACACCGGCTTTCAAGTGCTTAGTATTGGCCAACGTATCTAAAATAATAATAATAATAATAATTAAATAATATTAAGTATATAATTAAATAATAATTAAATAATAATAAGTATATAATTATATAATAATAATTATATAATTAAAAAATAATAATTATATAATTAAATAATAATAATTATATAATTAAATAATAATAATAATAATAATAATGCTTATTATTATTATACAGTAATCATACAAATCATTTGACCCAAAAAAAACAAATACCTGCGACAAAATCTATAATATCATTAGCGGTAACTGTATGTCCCTGTTTGATGACTACATAAGCTCGTGGCCAATGATTATCGGCTGAATTGTTGACACCGACAATGGCTACCTCACTAACGGCCGGATGGGTCAACACAAACATCTCGATTTCGACGGGACTGACATTCTTATAGTGATTGTCAATAAAAATGTGCATCACTTCTCTCAGCCGATCCGTTATGAATAGCCGTTCCCTGTCGTCATAGTGACCGATATCGCCAGTCCTATACCAACCGTCCTCATCGATGACTACACTGTCTAACCGATCATTGCTATCCAAATAACCCATAAACAGTTTGTTACCTCTAATACATATCTCGCCGTCTTGATTAGCACCCAATGCCTGACCGGTAGACAAATCGATAATCTTGAGCTGACATCCCGGTGCCACTTGACCCGCATTACCCGAAACAAACTCATCATTACTGTTGTCAAATGCATTGCCAATGGTTACCCAAAAATACTCAGTCATAGCGTATTCTGTTATGATATTAGATAATAATAATAAACTATAGATTATTATAATTTAAGTAAATAATCAAAAAAAAAATTAATTTTTGAATAAATTAAGATAAAAATTAATTTAATTTATTTATGTTATACTTAAATCTATTAGTTATATTCTACTTAAAAACAATAATAATAATAATGTTTCCACAAGTGGTTACAAATAGATATTCAGTCATACCGTATGCTGTTATGATTAGATATATTATATAAATATAACATAAATTATTATTATTATTTAAATTAGTTATCTAATATATTATTATTAATAATAATATTTTTGTTTGTTTATCAATTAATATTAACATATAATATAAATTTTATTAAAATTATTAATTTAGTTTATTTAATTTATATTAAATATATTTATAATTATATTGTAGATTTTCAATTTAACAAAATAAAATAAGAAAAAATAATATAAATTTTAAATCATATATTCATACTTTCAATGAATTTGATACCATATTTTTCGATAATTTGTTGGGCAATATGACCGGGAAAGGCGGCCCCACCGGTAATCATCAGCTGCAGACTCGACAGATCATAATTTTCGGCCAAATTGCCGTCAATCAGACTTCGGCCAAAATTGGAAAACAACGACAGTATTTGGATCCGATATCTTTCAATAGACTTGAACAGTAGATCGTCATCAAACTCGCCGATTATGACTAACTGTGCGCCCGATATCATTAACAACGGTATATATACTGTACCCGATATATGACCGAACGGATAGAGCATTGCGCATACAGTTTGCTTGTTTTTGGACGTGTTGTTGTTAATTGAGGACATGGAAAATGTTATCTCCTGTGCCGCACCAATGAACATACGGTGCGGTATCATTGCACACTTGGGTCGGCCACTACTACCCGACGTATGTATCAGAATCAATGGATCCGTATCAGGATTGACCTCAAAGTAGGGTATTTGCGGTAATTGTTGACCACTACGACTACCCTCGACTAACAACTGTCCATATGTTGTATGTTTGATATCCTGGTGTTGTTGTTGTAGTTCGCCATCAAATACGACAACAAGTTTTACGGGATTCCTGGTGTTACTGGTGTTGTTGTTAGCGTCAAAAACATGTTCAAACTTATGATAGTCTTGATTGGTTGTGACTATAATGTTAGTACCGGCGCTCAGCACCTCTTCATGAACTTCGTAGCTCTTGAATGTAGGACTCAATGGCATAAATGTTAGGCCCAATAGTTTAGCTGAAAACCGTAGGATTGACTGTTGAATAGAGTTTTGACCGGAAAATGCTATCCTATCCCGTTTGGTGACCCCATTGGCGATGAGAGCCATACCTATATTGTTTGCACGTGTTTTCAGATCGCCAATTGTTAATCGTTCATCAGTACGTGCGTCGATCTATTTGATTGTTTTTATTAAACATTTTCACCAAAAAAAAAATCAAAAAAAATTAAAATTAAATTTTGAAATTCTGACTATAGATTCGATTAGAGAACTATAATAATAATATATTGAATTTTTTTTTAATTAATAATCATATAATGTATCAAAATATCTCATCAGAAACATCGGTTAAAATGGCGGATAAATGAAAAAAAATTCAAAAAATCAATTTTTTTGAATGTATAACAAATATAAAATCTTTCCTGTAATGTCTACTGTCTTTTTATATTAATATAGAGTAGAAAATATATTATATTTGATACCCTACATGACTAAAATTGATTTTATTTTACATTTTGAGTCACTAGATACCCTACATGACTAAAATGAGGTTATTTTGTTATATTCTCATTTGATACCCTACATAATTAAAGTTGAGTTTATTTTGACATACTGTAATTTGATACCCTACATAACTAAAGTTGAGTTTATTTTTTGTCAGTTATCAAAGTAATAAATAAATTTATGTTTCATATTTAAAAATAAAATTTTAATTTGATAAATATTAAAATTAAAAATATAAATTAACTTACCAAACAAACTAGATCATCTGATAATTTATTTAGTTTGTCCCATAAATATGTGCCAACAATTTTGAATGGACTTTCAACAGGGATTTTATTTGAATATAAAATATTATTTTTAATCGGCATAATTGAATAGTTGAGTTTTTATTCTAATTATTTTTACAAAAAATTAAATATTATTTATTTACTTTTGTAACTTAACTTTTGTAAAAAAAAATTATTTAAATATATTTTAGCAATAGTTTGGCTGTTTGTAAGAATTTTTAAATGAATATATATATATATTTAATTAGTTTATAACACATATACTCACTTATTTATTATATAACTTTATAATATATTATATAAGTTTATATGATATTATTTAAATTTATATTATAATTAAAAAAAATTAGTGCCAATTCATTTAATAACTAAATCAATTACTTAATAATTTTTTAAATATAAATTTTGCTGTATTACACAAATACAAAATAATTTATTGATTTGCAATGTAAACACACTTAACATTAATCACAAAAAAATATTATTGTCAGTCATAATGAGTTTACGTTACATTTTATTTGTAAATTAAAATAAAACTATTTAATTTTTGCTAATTATTTAGTTTAGCATAATAATTTAATATCAATTATTATACTAATAATTATGACATGTGCATTGTATATGCGTGGATGTATTACAACCAGGGTTTTAAGTAAATAAATGCCTGCCCTGGCAATGCCCAAATAGATGCCATAGATGCCTGGCATTTTGGGCATCTATTTTATTTGCATGTCACATTAAATTGCCAAAAAGCAACTGTATTTATAAAAATAATGTAATTTACTTTTTTTTAGCGTGTTAATTAAATTTACAATTAATATACTTATTTCCAATGATATTACCTTTATATTAAAGATATTACAAAACAAATATATAGATAAAACAATGTTTTATAAATAAATAATATAAAATCATAGTAATAGGTGTCATCACCTGAAAATAGATGCACAGGGCATGGCAGAGGCAGGGCAGGCATTTGGCAAAATTGGCATTTATTGTTTATGTCTGCCACATTTAAAACCCTGATTACAACTCATTTGTGTCACGAAAAACTGATGCTTTTATACAGCTATGCATATGTGAAGTACTTAAACAATAATTTATATACAATTAATTAAGTGATTAGTCAATTGTTTGTATATTGAAAATTGATAGTTTTAAAACGTGTTTTAATTTAATTTTTAAAATAAACATTAGTATTAAATGCTATTATTTAAAGTAATGTTTTTTTTTGTGTGTGGTTATTTACTTTATTAAAATAACCTAACAATAACCGTATAATTTGAGATACAAATTAATAAAATTTGAAATAATTCCCAATTAGTAATTGGAAATAGCGATAAACAATAGAAACCAATTGTCGGTCCACTCAGTCGTCCGATAAATGTTTCGCATTTCAAGCGCTGACCTAACGTCAAGTGCCGACCCTTACGACGATTATTAGCTAACAGTGAAAACATTATGGCATACGGTTTGTGTGCTTTGGCCGGTACTTTACCGCACAGATGGCCAATCAGTAAACCAGTTAACATTAATAATAGCGTTATTGAAAGCATTATAATCCTTAATAATTGACTGGACTGGCGATGACTGCTCTCATAGATTAGTAACAGTCCGACAGTTGTGCCAAAAATATAAATAACAAATATTGCTTTTGATAGTAAATGGTTAGTCCTATCGATCAGCACAGTTAGCTTATTGTGTTTATCAATAGTTGACAATAGTTTTTTGGATCTATTTATTTGTAAGGATTTGTGACAATGAATTTTTTGGTTTAGTAATTGTTTGTTTAATATGGAAAACATATCGTCCAATAAAATACCATAAACTATAGCGCATACTATCAATACATACATATAGTTTAAACCATTAATTAGATCGATGGCAGTGATTAACATTGAGATAATAATATTGGTTAGATTATAGTGTAGGTGCCGATCATAGTAGGCCATAATCAATGGGACAGTTTGAAATAAGTATAGACAACAAAATATTGACCAATTAATGTATTTATTGGGAAATGTTATAACAATTAGATAGTATAATAGTTTTTCAAATATATTAATGCTATTCAAATGTGTTTTATATTTGAATATATTGACAAAATTGTTGATTAGTTGATTGAAATAATTGATTTCAACCAATTCATACCATAAACATATATACGATATCATTATTATAGTTAATTGTATTAAAACAAATAATGTTAGACTCAATTGTGAATTTCCGTACAGATATGTTGGATCGCATAGCAAACGGTTAAGCCATTGATAATCATAATTTGTAACACCATTGTTATCATCAGTTTCATAGCCATTATTATTAATAGCTCTGTTGGCTATATATAAACCGATTGTACGACAAATAGATAAAATTGAATTAATTTTTAACAATAAACTAATTACCAAATATTTGTTATCAACAATGCGATAGCAATTTATTATATACCGATTGTGTAACCATTTAACCAGTTTATGGGCAAAACGTTTATTATAATAATTGCTCATGGTTAATTATTTTAGTTAACATTAGTAACCATTTAGTTAACAAATATTTAGAAACATATAGCACTAAAAATTTATATGAAATGTCTAACTATTATATAATAAAAGTTCATTTAAAATAGTTTAATAAATAATTATTACAAAATATAATATTTTAAGATATATTTATTTGCATAAATCAAATCATTTTTACTAAATCTTAAATCATGCAAACATCTCATTAAAATCATTATATTTAAATATTTAAGAAAAACAATGTTAATAACTTATCAATGTTAAGTTCAATTAACGTAAAAAGTTATTATAATATTTAAATTAAAATAATAGTTTAATGAATCATTAAAAGTAAAGTTATTATTTTTATGTATATTTAGTCAGAAAACTAAATTATTTTTTTACTAAAGTTATTAACATATTAACTATTTATATGTGAATTCTATTTATTTAATATATTATAAGTGCATATAATTTATTATTATTTGATACAATATTTAAGAATCTTTATTAACAAAATTACTAATATTATAATATTTTGTAATAAATATATGCAAATTAATGTTTATCTAGAAATTCAATAAATTTATTATATACTGCATTATTTAATGCAAGGGAAGTGGGGTTATCACGGGTCTATTTTATATGTGAACACTATGAGTGTCCACTAACCCGTGATGTAAACCCTACTATTACTTAAAGATTAAGCCCTTACTTTGCCCTGCACGTACCAGCATTATTAACTGTAACGGTATGTGGCTTAAGGAGCGAGCGGATCTCCTATCACTGGTTGTGTACAAAGCTATATGTGTTGATTTGTGTATTTAGTCGACCGACTGTTTTAGTTTATGCTGTTTCTTGCATAAACTATCCGTATAATACTACCGTACGGATATCCAACTGATTGGTACAAAGTCTAGTTTTAAGGTCTGTTTAGTAAACATGTTTTCCTTGATATCTCCATAACTACTTGTCATACTGGTCTCCAACAAGTACCATTGGTATCAGTACATAAAACCCGATTTCCAGATCTCGATGACCTTGACCTTGTATAGGTGACCTTGACCTTGGACATGTGACCTTGACCTTGGACGTGTGACCTTGACCTTGGACGAGTGACCTTGACCTTGGACATGTGACCTTGACCTCTGACCTCTGACCTCTGACCTCTGACCTCCTCTGACCTCTGACCTCTGACCTCTGACCTCTGACCTCTGACCTCTGACCTCCTCTGACCTTCGACCTTCGACCTTGGTCAGTGGACCAGGTGGTCAGTATAACAGTTGACCAGTTTGTCTTGTGACTTATTACTATATCTGAGTTAACCTATCATAGCGCTTACTTTTGCATAGCTTATAATAGGTTACTCAATGATAAGGTTTACTCAACGTCATCACGTGTCAACACTTGTCTTTGGTCGGACCAGTCAGATCCTACCGTGTAGCGGACACAGTACCGGAGTTCCCTTCTATATAGTATTCGCTTACGTAATAAGTGGACGACTCCCATCGACGCGGCGTTCGATTGCTATCCTTTATGTTAACTGTATCCTATAGGACTGTTGAGCCTGTAGGACCAATGGGCCTGTAGTGAAGCCATATGTGATCCATAATACCATCCATGACGTAATCCATGGTGTACTTCCATGACTCAATCGATAATGTTATCCATGATGTAATCTTTCTTGCGGTCAGCTTTCATCAGTATAACATCGATAGTGTAATCCATGACGCAATCCAAGACCACCAGCCGCGACGAGTAAGTAATACACACAAAGTAATATGCAAATACTTTTATTTCATCTTATAAACAGTTATAC